GCTGTGTCTGGACGTCCTCCTACTGGTATAATTATTTTAAAATAACAAGAACAGAGCAGGGGGCGGTGGCTCATGCCTGTAATCCCAGAACTTTGGGAGGCCCAGGTGGGCAGATCATCTGAGGTCAGGAGTTCAAGAGCAGCCTGGCCAACATGGTGAAACCCTGTCTCTTCTAAAAATACAAAAATTAGCCAGGCATGGTGGTGTGCACCTGGAATCCCAGCTACTTGGGAGGCTGAGGCAGGAGAATCTCTTGAACCCAGGAGGTGGAGGTTGCAGTGAGCCAAGATCATGCCATTGCACTCCAGCCTGGGTAACAAAAGTGAAACTCCATCTCAAAAAATAAGTAAGTAAAAAAAAAAAGTAAGTAAATAAATAAAATATAAATATAAATAAAATAATGACAGGAACTTGAATGTATGACAGTATGTACATGAGCAAAATTAAATGCACAAGGTGACAAGGCAGTGTGTTCAAGTTCTCAGGAATTTCTTTTTTTCTTTTTGAGATGGAGTCTTGCTCTGCTGCCCAGCTAAAGTGCAGTGGCATGCTCTTGGCTCACTGCAGCCTCCACCTCCCATATTCAAGTGATCCTCCTGCCTCAGCCCCCCAGTAGCTGGGATTACAGGCATGCACCACCATGCCCAGCTAATTTTTGTATTTTTAGTAGAGATGAGGTTTCGCCATGTTGCCCAGTGGTCTTGAACTCCTGACCTCAGGTGATCCACTTGCCTTGGCCTCCCAAAGTGCTGTGATTACAGGCGTGAGCCACCATGCCCAGCCCCCAGGAATGTTCTATACGGACTCACAACTTGCAGAACTGGAACTCCCTACTTCCCCTCCTGCCAGGTGGGGAAATTATTAGGTCTGGTGGGGGTCGGAATGCCTTAAAAAAAAAAAGTTGAAAATTGTCTTAGGATCAGCCTAGTGTGTTTTAACAAACTACACTCTGAATTAAGTCAGGAGATAATGCTCATTACTTTTTGTTCTCTGCAGTCACCTGTTTCTAAGTAAAGGCTTTAGGTGGGAGAGGCAGGTGTCCCAAAAGGAAGGTTTGTGATTGTTTGCAGCTGAGTCAATGGCAGGACCAGAGGATGACATGCCAGGAGCAGCTTGGAGAGTTGGGACACACCCAGGAACGTCACAGATGTGGGCTCCGAATCCACTTCTTGAAGTCAACCAAAGAGAGCAGACAGGGATTGAAAATACCACGTTCTGGGACTACATTTTTTTTTTTTTTTTTGAGACAGAGTCTCGCTCTGTTGCCCACACTGGAATGCAGTGGTGTGATCTCAGCTCACTGCAACCTCCCCCTCCCAGGTTTAAGCGATTCTCCTGCTTCAGCCTACTGAGTAGCTGGGATTACAGGCATATGCCACCATGCCTGGCTAATTTTTGTTTTTGTTTTTGAGATAGTTTTGCTCTTGTTGCCCAGGCTGGAGTGCAATGGCGTGATCTCGGCTCATTGCAACCTTCGCCTCCCAGGTTCAACCAATTCTCCTGCCTCCGCCTCCTGAGTAGCTAGGATTATAGGCATTCGCCGTCAGGCCTGGCTAATTTTGCATTTTTAGTAGAGATGAGATTTCTCTAGGCTGTCTTGAACTCCCAACCTCAGGTGATCTGCCTGCCTCAGCCTCCCAAAGTATTGGGAGTACAGGTGTGAGCCACCACGCCCAGCCTAATTTTTGTATTTTTAGTAGAGACAGGGTTTCACCACGTTGGCAAGGCTGGTCTCGAACTCCTGACCTCATATGATCCACCCGTTTCGGCATCCCAAGGTGCTAGGATTACAGGCATGAGCCACAGAACCTGGCCCCAAGATGGCTTTAGAGGCCCCTCAGAGAAGCCTCAGTCAGGCTAGAGACCTACTAAGGGATGAACACTACCTGTTCTTGCCACCCCAACAGCACCCAAATAGCCACAGTTTTTTGTGTTTTGTTTTTCTCTCACCTCTGATTCTGCTGGAAAAACACCCAAAATCTCTGGTCAGATCACCCCAACCCTAGCAGCACCTGCAGCAAGAGGGCAGGAAGTCAAGCTAGAATGGAGGAGGAGCCACCTGTGCTTCAACCAGGGTCCCCGGGGAGGAGCTGGATTCCCCCAGTGGGCAGTGGGGCATGTGCCCACCAGGGGCCTCAGAGCTGTGTTCTGGGGAGGGGGCAGGCAGGGGGCAGCTGCAGAGCTGGGCTCCTGGAAGGATGGCACAGTGGCTTCCTCTGGAGGGTGCTCGGAGGCCCCCTACTAGGGCCCTGGTAAGAAGGCGTGGGGCCTTTGGGGCCTCGGACCTTGTGAACATGGGAAAAGCAAATCCCCCTTCAAATCACAAACATTTGAAGACAGCCAAAGTTGGCCCTGGATTCCTCCTCCTTAGGTTTGAGGTCTTACTGCTACCAGGCCCTTCAAGAGAGGTGGCCATGGTGCAGTGGGGAAAATGCTGGATTTGGAGTCAGAAGGTCTAGGTGTGATTCTGGCCAGTTAATGGTAACTTCCCTGGGCCTTGATTTCCTTGTTTGTAAAAATCAGATAGTGTGACCCTCTTCCAGGGACATTAGGCAGAGTGTAAATGAAGATGGATATGTTCAGTCCATTTTTCTTGCATTTAAGAGTTGCTCAATATGTATTTGTTGAACCCAATAAAAGCTTTCAGTTCATATTCTGTGTTCTGATTTTGTGGTGGTGATACAAATCTATATATTTGCTAAAATTCTGTATACCCAAAGGAAACAAACTCAGTTTTTTTTCCTTTTTTGAGACTGAGTTTTGCTCTTGTTGCCCAAGCTGGAATACAGTGGCATGATCTTGGCTCACTGCAACCTCTGTCTCTTGGGTTCAAGCTATTCTCTTACCTCAGCCTCCCAAGTAGCTGGGATTACAGGTGCCTGCCATCACACCTGGCTAATTTTTGAAACAGGGTTTCACCGTGTTGGCCAAGCTGGTCTCAAACTCTTGACCTTAGGTGATCTGCCTGCCTTGGCCTCCCAATGTGCTGGGATTATAGGTGTGAGCCACCACGCCTGGCCCACAATTTTATTGTGATGATTTTTTTTACAAAACAATGTCTGGTCCAAATTTTTTCCCTCGGATGGGCTTTAGGATTCCCATTTTGCAGGTAAAGCAACCGAGACCTGAGATGTCTCCCGTCCCCACCATCAGTACCCAGCTATGTTTCCATTGCCTATGAGAGTTTTGGGGGTGCACAGGACAGACATGAGGTCTCCCAGAGTGTAAGCCCTTAAAACAGAAAAACAGGTCAGAGAGGGCTCCTACGTTAAACCCATGAAGTCAAGCCCTTTGGGGATGTCTGGTGGCAGGGCCAAGGCCTATGCTCAGATGATTTTCTGTTAATAAGAACTTCAGGCTGGGCGTGGTGGCTCACGCATGTAATCCCAGCACTTTGGGAGGCTGAGGTGGGTGGATCACTTGAGGTCAGGAGTCTGAGACGAGCCTGGCTAATATGGTGAAACTCTGTCTCTACTAAAAATACCCAGATTAGCCAAGCATGGCGGTGTGTGCCTGTAATCCCAGCTACTCAGGATTACAGCTACTTGGGAGGCTGAGGCAGAAGAATCGCTAGAACTTGGGTGACAGAGGTTGCAGTGAGCCGAGATCACAACATTGGACTGCAGCCTGGGCGACAGAGACTCTGTCTCAAAAAATAATAATAATAATAAAATAAGAACTTCAAAGTATCAGGGAAACTGAGTTGTTCAAAGGTGTTAAAAAGTGTTTAGGCAAAGCCAAGACCTCCCCCAACCCAGGGCAGCCTCAAGCAGGGGGAGAAATGAAGCCTCCTCCTGCCTTCTACCCGGCTGCGTAGGTCCCTGGTGGAGGCAGGAGGACGCAATTAGTGCCACTATGCAAAGTAGCAGGAAAGGAAGGGCTTCGGCTCACTAGAGGCTGATGCCAAAACAACCTGGTTCCCTACGGCGGCCCAGAGACCGGAGAAAACACAAGGCCTTCCAGGCTTGGCCCAGCCTGACCCAGGGCGGTGGAGAGACTGACCTGAAACCGCAGGTGTGGGTGCCGGCCCCGCTGGCCCCACCTGGAATTCCAGAGGCAATCTGGTGAAAATTGGCACTTTTCTCACTAGTTTCTGTGTGCTAACCTTGATTCGCCAGTTAAACTGGCAGCTCCCCAAGCAGAGGGGCTCCCTATGAATTCCACAGGGGAATTCAGAGCAGGAACAGCAGAGAGGCTCCGAAGGATTCCCTCCAGGGTCAACAGGAAGTGGAGTACAGCCTGTTGGGAGGGGGGTTTGCACACGCAGGTTGATTGCACTTGGCCTTCCAGGTGGGAGCTGTTCCTAGGACCTCCCACAGCTGGTGGGCTGGGGGGCCCTATGGGCCATTGTTTGAGGACCCTGGGAATATAGGGGACCTCCGATGCGAAACTGGGAAAGTCTGAAGGGGTACCATGGCTAAGAAGCCCAAAGCTTCACCATACAAAGCCCCACTTTTTAGATCTCACTCTTGATGGCTTCGCATCAAGCTTTCCTAGGCCCCTTGGGAGATGGGGGTGGGGCGTTATAGAGGCAGGGAAACCCCTACCCTCAGGGAGCTTCCAGTTTGACTGGAGAACCAAGGCCAGAGTGAGTAGCACAAGGCAGTAGCTAAGTCACTGCGGCCTAGGCTGGTCTGAATAGGGCTTGGATAGGGACCAGGTGCTTTGGGAGGGCTTCCTGTAGGTGGAGGCAGAGTGGGACTCAGTTACGGCTTGTTGGCTGAATGGAGTGCAGGGTGAGGGTGTCCCTGCTGAGGGGAAGGACAGGCCCAGCCACTCGCCAGCTGCTCTGGGTCCAGTTAGGGCCTGGCATGCAGCCCCTAGTTTCAGGGGGAAGAAAGGGGGTGTGATCACAGGCTCCAACTGGGTCTTCAGAGAGAAGGGGTGGCAGTCACCTCTCCCGCACCCTCGAGGGCTCACAGGTGCCACATTCAAACAACAGAAGTGCCTACATAGGCATTCCTATCCACCCCAAACCCATAAGATGTCACGAGCCTGTGTGTGGTTTCTCAGGACACATCGTTTATTCCATGGGGAAAGGGGCTTGAGGCTGGGGCGGCCCTGGGGTGGGAGCGGTTGCAGGACAGGAATAATGTTCCCGTGGCTCTTTTGGGGCCCAGTTGGGTCTACGGCGCTTCCCAAGCTCTGCTGGGAGTCCCTTGGCTCCGAGTCCATTTTCGGGTTCTGGACCAGTCTCTGCCTCCCCTATCCCACGCATGGGGACGGATCCCCTCATAGCACCCCCAGGAGGCTGGGTCCTGCCCATCCCCAGAGAACTCCCTCCAGGTTGCTGCCCTGTCGTCCTTCTACTCCAGGCCCTTTGGCAAGAGCTGGGACCAGGGCCTGGAGATGAGTGGTGGCTCTGGTGGGCCAGCTTCAGAGGCTGACTGGGGGTCTGGGAAGGGGGCTGGGCCAGGAGCCAGGAAGCTCCAAAGCAATCACTGAGGCCCAGGAGCCTGCGTGCAGGGCGTGGGGAGGGCCTGGCTCTCACTCCTGGCCTGGGTGCTCACCCACAGACCACTTCACTTCCCCCGTCCGCAATGTCACTATGTCCTCGTAGGTGGCTGTCTGGTCAATGTTCAGGCCCTGGAGACATGAAGCAGAGCTCAGGCTGGGGCCACACCCTGCACACCAGCAGATAGTGGCCACTGACCCGAGGATTCAGAGCTGCGGGGCCTGCCCTGCTCCTCACCTCATAGGTGTGATCTTCCTCCATGCCGGCCTTGCCGTCATCCTGGGGGCAGAGAGGTTGGAGATCAGAGCATTAGTGTCCCCTGGCCCCATCACGCACTGGGCCAGGCTGGGGAGGGCCTGGGGTTGAGGAGTGAGGGGTCAGGAGTGAGGTGCATTCTGACAGAACAGCGGAATGAATGAAGGAAGGAAGGAATGATTAAATCGGTGAGCCAGTGGGGAGGCTCTGGGGACGGGCTTGGCCAACAAGGCCACAACACAAGCTGGGCAGGTGGAGACCCTGCCTATGTCTGGCCTGTGCGGTGGCCTCCTCTGTGGTCCCCCAAGCCTTCCCCTGTCCCCTGATCACCTTGTCCAGCAGCAGGAAGATGGGCACGATGATGAAGAGGATGATCAGCAGCGTCTGGATCATGATGATGCTGTCCTTCAGTGTGTTCCTCCGCTTCAGCTGTTCCAAGGTGCTGAACCCTGTGGGGACAGGGTAAGGGGGGTGCGAGCCTGGGTCAGAGTCCACCTCTTAGGCCTCCAAGGGCAGCTCCCCCAGGTCCCAGTGGCTTTCCTGGGTGCCCTAGGGCCATGGCCATTGCTGCAAGAGGCAGGCCGGGCGGGGGTAGGGGTGGACGGCTACAGGAGCGTCCCGGCCACCCGGCACACACCCATGACTCGCAGCTCCGTGCCGCAGCCCAGGTAGACCTCTAAGGAGTTGTCGCACTCCTGCTGGCAGAAGTAGATCCCGTTGTCCTCAAACCGGATGTCTTGGATGGTGAGGGTGGTGACAGAGCTGCCGTTGGTCTGATGCATGCGGCCCTGTTCCAGGTTCATCTGCTGGGGCTCCTCATCCATCGTCCGCTTCCGGAGCCAGCTCACCATCCTGGAGGTGCCGTTCGTGTAGCACTGTATTTTCACTGTGAAGCCCCGTTTCCTGGCTATGAAACGTGGGTACTGCCAGATCTGAGAGCAAGGGCTACCTGTGGGCGCGAAGGCCAGCCTCAGAACTCCTCTTGGCATCTTCCTGACTGCCAGCCCCCGCAGCAGGCCCCTGCCCTGGCTGGCACAGAACCACTGGGCTCAGTCCTTGCTTCTCAGGGTGTGGGACAGGCAGGAGGCAGAGCCACGTGAGAGACTGAGCCACATGAGAAGCCACGGCCAAGCTCTCAGACTCTGCCCCTTCCCGACTGCCCCACCTACCCTTCGATTTTCCTTTAGAAGAGAGCTGGGACCTTGCCATTCCTTCCCATGCCCATTACAACAGCCTGACCTGGACCACATCCCCAAGACCTGGAGGCACACAGGCCTGGTGCTTTTGCCCCTCCCTTCCCTGGGCTTCCTTGCACCCGCCTGAAATCATCAGTCTCCTCGGTTTCTTCAGGGATACAGGCAAACTCCTAGCCTGGCAACTGAGCCCTTCTTCGGTTGACCCCCACCCCTCCACCTGACTTCCTTCCATCATCCCCCGCTTCCCTCCTGCAGGGACTGGGTCCACTTCTTGTTCCAGAATCCTCTTTCCAGCTTCGACTGCCTTGTTCTCAGTGAGCACTCCCTGGGAATCCCTGAGCTCCTCACACAGTGACCCTGCCCTGGAGGGCTCACCTGAGGCTCAGCCAGATCCCCAGCTAGACAGGCCAAAGCCTGAGCCCCAGAGAAACCCCCAGGCTCCCCCGCTGTGACCCAGAGTTTATCCCAGCCCCTCAGTGGCCACGGCTGGAGAGCCTGTGTCTAATGAGGATGACAGCGGGCCCGAGGTGGGGTTCGCAGGAGATCCTGAGGAGGCCCGGGGATGGGAGTCCTGGCTGGGGAGATCAGACAAGGGTGGGAAGTGGGGGACCCCCAGGACAGGACCATAGTCGGACACAGGCAAACTTGCCCTCAGAAGGGTGGGTGAGGCCACTGACCTTTGGGATTCTGGTGCGGTTGCTTTGAATTGGTTGCTGGCACCGGCTCAGCTGCTGGGAGGGAGGAAGTGGGCGGGGCCAGGTCAGGACCTCCTCCGGCCCGGGCTGCCCCATCCCTGCATGCCCTCTAGGTTCCAGAGCTACTTCCTCCTTCCATGACAGCAGCTTCAAGACCCCACAGTCCTCCCTGCCCCCTGTGCTTGAAAGACAGGAGTGGGGTGGGGGGTATTGGAAAACTCACCCCCAGCCCCCTTTCTGCCTTTGACCCTCAGGGTGGCTTTGAGCAGGCATCTGAATGAGACAGATGGGACAGGGAAATCTCAGCAGTTTGAGAGGCCAAGACAGGAGGATTGCTTGAGGCCAGGAGTTTGAGACCAGCCTGGGCAACAAGGGAGACCGTGTCTCTATTTTTTTGTTTTTGTTCTTTTTTTAAAAAAAAAAAGAGAAACGGGAAGAAAGTCACAGTCCGGAGGCTCTTCCATCTCCCAGAGGAGGGGGTCGCATTTGGATCACGCATCTTCCAGGGTCCAGTTGGGACGGCCCCTCCCCTGCCGGCGCCCGGGCAGTACCCTCAGCCTCTTCCTCCTGAGCCCAGTTTTCCCAAGGCCCTGGCTGCTAACGCTGGCTTGCTTCTCATGCCCAGCTCAGCCCGACGCCCTCCAGGCAGGAGAGGGGTTGGGGCCACATACTCCTGACCCCCTCCCCATGTGCAGCTGACACCCACAGACCCAGGCCCCAGGGCCATGAGAGAGAGACAGGCGGCAGAAAGAGTGAGAGACAAAGGAGGAGGGTGGAGCGAGCGGGGGGGCTGGGCCACAGGGCCCAGAGAGCTGGAGACAGAGCGAACCCTGCAGACCTCGTCCTGGGTACCTGAGAGCAGCAGCAGCAGCAGCACCAGCCAGAGGCTGGGCACAGGAGACAACGCCAGCCCAGCCATGGTCACCGCTCCGTCCCCAACCCCAAGCCCGTGACAACGTCCGTCTGAGGCTGCTTGGGGGAAAACGTGTAACTGCACCGGCCGCAGCCTATCCCCTCCTTGCCTCTTCCTCACCAGGCCCCTTCCTGCCATGCAAATCGGGACCCAGGGGAGGCACCAGCTCTCCGGGGACCTTGGGGGAGGGCGGGCTCTTGTCAGCTGGGTCGCTAAGGCGTGGCAGGCGCCCAGCTTGAGCAGCACAACTGGGGTCCTCAGTGGATGCCTCTGGGGGCCAGCCTTCTGGGGGCAGCCTGTGCTCCTGTCTCTCTGTGCCTACCCCACTGGTGGTCATCCCCTGGGACAGCCAGCCTCCCCTCTGCCATCTGAGCCTGGCAGGTCTTTATTCCTGGGCCCTGAGCGAAATAGGCACCTGTCCTATGGATGAACTTGAACTTAGCTCCTCTGCCCCGAACCATCCTTCAACCTGCGGGAAGAGGAGCACTGAGGAAGGACAGTGCAGGGGGCTGGGGGCCAGCCACAGACCCAGGCCAGGCACCTGGAGGGGCCCAGAGCAGAGCCTCTTGGCTGGAGTTCAGGCAGCCATGTTGGAAGTTGACCCAGGGGAGGATGGGAACTATAGAGGTTCTTGAGCAAGAGCAGGCCAAGTGTGGCAGCCACCGGGAGAAGATTCGGTCCAAGCCCGGGTGAGAGGCCTCCCTTCCTCATGCTGTGAAAGCGTTTGTAGGGGCTGCCAAACAGGGTGGAGGTAGGTGGAGACAGCTGTGAGAAAACCCACCATGTAGCCATCGGGGCTTCTTCAGGGGTTCTTAACTGTGGGATTCTGAGTGCATGGGATTGTGGTCTGCAGGTCCAGGGCGTCTCAGGCAGGGAACGGGGGCTGGTGTGGGAGAGCCCTCAAGTCCTCCAGCTGTATCCTGCCTGTCTGCAGGGTGCTGGATGGAGCCACAGTACTCAGGAACTCATCTAAGCAAATCTTTGGGGCTGCCCCTGGGTCCAATGTAGCCCCTTCAGAGACAGTCTTGTGCAGGCCCCAACCTGTACAACTGTCCACAGCAGCCTTGTGGACGACCGCAGCCCTGCAGCTAAGCCCTCTTTGAGTTTTCTGTCTCCTGGCAGCTTCTTTTTTGTCTCTCATCCCCAACCCCTGGGAGAGGAAGCGATGCTCAACTGTCGGTGCCCTCTGTCCCCATCTCTCTCCCCGACGAGCCTTCATTCTCCAGCCTGTGCTGGGCAGGTCTGTCTGGATTTAGGGAGAAGCAGACCCGCCTCCCGTGGCACGGCTGGAAGGCAGAGGGTCTAGGCGGTCCCTCTTTGGATCTGGGGCTGGGCCTCACACCTTACAAGGCAGGAGCCACTCTCAAGGGGTGCAGGCCAGGATCTGAGCCACAGCAATCGAGGACAGGAGGATTAAGGTTTCATCTGAGGAACAGCTCGTTCCGGGCAGTCCCAGATGTTCTTGCTCATCTCCAGATGTTCCAAATGAAAAAAAAAAAAAAAAAAAAAAACGTTTCTCTGAAAAGGTGTCAGATGTTCAGTTCATGGAATAAACAGCCCAGAGATGTAAACATCACCTGAGGTCAGCATGGGGCCCACAGCCCGGATGCTGGTGAGGGCGGTTGGAGAGAGACTGACAGGGAATTCGGGGGGCAAAATCTGGGGGTCTCTTGGTTTGGGAAATACTCTTCCCGAGCCCCTAATGACAGAGTCCTTGGAATCTCCCCTAAGTCGGTGTGTATGACGGGGAAAGGCTTGGGGTACACATGTTTGTGGGGTGTGTGTGTGTGTGTGTGTGTGCTCACACAAGTGTATGGCCTGGGCCCTGTGGTGTGGGGCCTACGTGGGAGCTCGTCCTGGGGCCCAGGGAACTGTAGGGGGTACAGAGGTTGGGGGGGCAGTTGGCATCCTGCAGACTCACACACATCAACACCTCCACGGACAGGGATGCAGATGTGGCCTTTGGGCTTCATTCCCATTCATGCCGGGCAGGGATCTGTTTTCAGGAGCGGGGGAGGCAGCGGGGGCCCAACCGCCTGCAGGGTTATTTGTCACAGCTTGGACCAGGCTGTTCCCTCGCTGGTGACAACACCCCCGAGCCCCATCCTGGGCTCATGATGCCCTTTCTTTCCCAGAACAGGAGGCCTCACAAGCCCACCCCTGCCTCTGCCCTCTGCTGCCCCAGGCCTCACATTCTGACGTCTGACAACACCCCACTTTCCAGGAAGGCAACAGCAAAATAAGGGATGGGGGGGCCTGGGAAAGGGACAAGGAGTTCAGCGGGTGGGGAAGCAAGAAGGCAGCTATCCCCAGTCACCCTCGCAGGCTGGGAGCGGGAGGAACCTCAGGGAGAGAAGAGCTCGGACATCTACCTCCTTCCCCAGCCCAGAGGTCCTGGGTCTGCTTGGCTGCTGAGGCCGGGAAGAGACCTGCTAAAAAGGACGTGTGTTTGAGTCCTGACCCAGCAGTGAAATCTCCCAGGTTACCAGTGGTTCTCAACTAGGGGTGGCTCTGCCCCCATTGGGGGAGTGTCTGGTCACACGTCAGGGCAATCGCGCCGGTCACAATGATGGGTGGGTACCCAGAGGTGGTAGGGCATTGGCTGGCAAAGTAGAGTTCCCTGCCCCACATAACAACAGCACCCCATGAGGCAACACCCGTTCTTAACCTCTCAGTGAGCAAGGTTCCTCATTTTCGTAAAATAGAAATAATCCCAATAGCGCGTTTTTTTGGTTGGTGTTTTCTGGTTTTTTTCTGAGGCAAGGTCTCGATCTGTCCCCCAAGCTGGAGTGCAATCTCCATTCACTGCAACCTCCACCTCCCCAGCTCAAGTGGCCCACCCACCTCAGCCTCCCGAGTAGCTGGGAATACAGGTCACACCGCCATGCCTGGCTAATCTTTGTGTTTGTTGTAGAGACAGATTTCACCATGTTGCCCAGGCTGGGCTCGAACTCCTGAGCTCGAGCAATCCACCCGCCTCAGCCTCCCAAAATGCTGCGATTACAGGTGTGAGCTACCATGCCCTGCCAGTTTTTTTGTTTTGTAAATTTCATTATTATTATACTTTAAGTTCTGAGGTACGTGTGCAGAATGTGCAGGTTTGTTCCATAGGTATACACGTGCCATGGTGGTTTACTGCACCCATCAACCCATCATCTACATTAGGTATTTCCCCTAATGCTACCCCTCCCCCAGGCCCCCACCTCCTGACAGGCCCCAGTGTTTGATGTTCCTCTCCCTGTGTCCATGTATTCTCATTGTTCAACTCCCACTTGAGAACATGCGGTGTTTGGTTTTCTGTGCTTGTGTTAGTTTGCTGAGAATGATGGTTTCCAGCTTCATCCATGTCCCTGCAAAAGACAGGAACTCATCCTTTTTTATGACTGCTAGAGTTTTTGATTTAATGCTATGAAGTTTCTTGAAGCACTGCTTTTGCTGTATCACAGAGGTTCTGATAAGTTATGTCATTATCATTCATTTCAAAGAATTTTTTTAAATTTCCATCTTGATTTCACTGTTAACCCCCAAATCATTCAAGAACAGATTATTTCATTTCCACATATTTGTTTACCTTTGAGGGTTCCTTTTGGAGTGGATTTTTAGTTTTATTCTGTTGTGGTTGGAGAAGATACTTGATATGATTTTGGTTTTCTAAAAGACACACTTACATGCATGTTTATAGCAGCCCAATTCACGATTGCAAAGACATGGAAGCAACCTAGGAGCCTATCAGTCTATGAATGGAGAAAGAAAATGCGGTGCATATACACCTCTGCTCAGCCATAAAAAAAGAAAAAAAAAGAAAGAAATGAAATCACATCTCGGAGCAACCTGGATGGAGCTGGAGGCCATTATTCTAAGTAAAGTAACTCAGGAGTGGAAAGCCAGATATCCTATGTTCTCACTTACAAGTGGGAGCTAATCTATGGGGATGCAAAGGCATAAGAATGGTGTGATGGACTTTGGGAACTCAGTGGGGAACGTGGAAGGAGGCGGAGGGATAAAAGACTACACACTGGGTACAGTGTACACTGCTCAGGTGACGGGTACACAAAAATCTCAGAAATCACCACTAAAGAACTTATCCATGTAACAAAAAAACTACCTGTACCCCAAAGCGATTGAAAAAAAATGTAAAACCAGTGAGAAGCTCCCACTCCAGGGAGGGAAGACAGCACCCTGGGGGCGCTCAAACAACTCTTGAGATGCTGGACACCTCCGCTCCCCAAAGCACTTACAGAGCTGAAAGCTGGGAAGGGGCTGCAGAGGCAACGGAAGGACATCTCGGGAGCAGCCTGAGAGTGCCTCCCCATCCCCCACGCCAGTGCTACATAACCTCAGGACCCAGGAAGAGAGGGTGTAGTCATCCCGAAAAGAATCAACTGCTTACTCGTCTGGAGATTACAGTCCTGGGAGTCAGACGTTGTTACAGAAAAGAAATTTACAGGCTGGGTGCAGTGGCTCTCGCCTGTAATCCCAGCACCTTGGGAGACCGAGGCAGGAGGATCACCTGAGGCCAGGAGGCTGCGACAAGCCTGGGCAACCTAGCAAAACCCCAACTCTACAAAAAAACTAGCTAGGTGTGGTGGTGTGCACCTGTAGTCTCAGCTACTCAGGAGGCTGAGGTGGGAGGATTGTTTGAGCCTGATAATTCGAAGCTGCAGTGAACCATGATTGTACCACTGCACTCCAGTTTGGGTGACAGAATGAAACCCTATCTCAAAAAAAAAAAAAAAAAAAAAAGAAAGAAAGAAAGAAAAAGAAAATTACATACAAGATTACATTTTACTCTCTGGGGCTGTGGGCTAAGCCTGTTGCATAAGAATACTCTTATCACAGGACCACGTGACCATGGGCTAGCTGGGGTCAGAGGTCAGTCCTAGGGTCAGTGCCTCTGTATTGAGAGAGAAACTGTGCTGTGTGCCCCACTGGCACCTTGAGGCCTCTGAGAGGGGCAGAGAAGTGAAGGGGCTTCTGGTGAGGAGAAGCTGGGGACACAAGGTACCAACAGGGACCACCCGGAAGACACTGAGTGCGGTGCTGCCTGTTGAGGGGTTGGGGCTTGACCCCTGATTCTGTC